AGGAATCTAGTCCCTAAGCTCCTTTCCCCCTTCGCAAAGGAATTTATCCCCCAATCCAACTCTTTTAGCGCTCTCTCGCATATTGGAACAGAAGAACCTGTTTTGGTTACAGAGGAAGATCCTTTCAAAAATTTAAATGAGAAAAGTTTGGTTCTTAGTTTTAATGCTCTTGAAGAGAGATTGTCCCCAAGTGACGAACCCATTTGGTACAACCATTCGGATGTTGAAGATGCCCCATTCTTTGTGTCAAAACTAAGGCCTTTAGCAATCGATCTTTCTAGATGCTCGAAAATCTCTATGGATCTACCTAAGGTCTTTAAACGAAGGAAACTCTACTCTCCTTCACAGATTGTTACACGTAGTAAAGCTAAGGTTCTTTCCTCGTGTAATAGCATTCTCACTTCGGGCATGTACGTTTCAGAATTAGATGATAATTTTGTTAGTGATTTTGAAGGTGATCTAGATAAAATATGCCGACCGTTAAAAGGTCAAAATCAGATCGACTTTTCTCTCAAGGCCCCTAAACCGAAAAAGAAAGGGAGGCAGCGTACAAAAGCTCAAAAAAAGAAGAAGAAGAGTATGCATTGATACTTTCAAGGCTTTTGAAGATTCTGTTTGGGTTATTTTGTAGTTAGTTGGTTTCAATATACGCAGCACTCTTTTGTTATGGGCGTTCCTTCTTTGATCACTCAAGGTTTTAAAGTTGTGCCTACTACCGGGTGCCTTGGATAGAATGGCACTCTTTTGATATGGTTTCAATTTACTTTCAGAAGTGTCTTGATGCTACAAGAACCATTTTTGTATCAGTTATACCGATTGGATTGGATCTGGTGAGGCTGTGCTTTTACATTCACAGCGATGAATAATGGCATAACATTGGTGGCAGTTCGTACCATAGCCTGCCTGGCAGTAAATTCACAGCATCCTTTTGGCTTGCTTTGGATGGATGTCTCCAATGCACATGTATTTGTATCAATACAAATTGGTTTGGGACAAGAATGGCAGGGCACTAACCAATGATGTTCAGCATTCCTGGTCTTTTTTTCCTTGAAATCTCGTTTGAGTAGTTACACAATCATTACTCACTTTCTCTTGTATTTTGTGTGTGTCCACTTATGTATGTTGAGATTGCTCTGTATACTTTAGGAAAGGCCAACTCTTAGGGGTCAGGGCCGCCCCCACCCTTAGTACTTTCTTTATTATTCAATAAATTATTTCCATAATATATATATATATATATATATATATATATATATATATATATATATATATATATATATATATATATATATATATATATATATATAGGATAAAAAAATGTCTTGCTAGGTTTCCGACCGCCACTATGGCGGTTCGGCGAACTTTATCCAACCATGTCCACATCTCTTCCTCAACGCACCTTCAGCGAAATTGGAGATACAGGAGATTTCAAACCTGCGAGCAAATTTAAAGGCCAACGAGCAATTTCCTTCACAGAAGAGGATGTCTTCTCGCTATCCTCTAAATTCTCTCGAACAATTGTTGGATGTTTCATCAAAGGAAGACCAAGCCTTACCTCAACTAAAAAGGCCTTTGAGCGCATAGCGTTTGAAAAGGATTACACGGTAAGTTTGCTTGATGAATCTCATATATTGATTAATTTTGAATCCGAGAAGGATTTCTTGCGATGCTTGCTGAGAAAACACTGGAAGATTCACGGATTTACTTTGAAAGTTTTCCGCTGGACACATGACTTTGACCCTAGTGTCGATTCCCCTTTTATCCCCGTTTGGATCAGCCTTGAGGGACTGCCAATACATCTATTTGATACTACTGCTTTGTACTCCATTGGAAATTTGCTTGGTAAGCCTTTAAAAACTGACTCAGCAACAGCAAGCCTTGCTAGGCCTTCTGTTGCGCGAATTTGTGTTGAGATTGATATCAGCAAAGAGCTGCCTCATTGTGTTTGGATCCACTTGGGCCAACTTTCATTCCATCAACCTATCACCTATGAATACACACACACACACACACACACACACACACACACACACACATATATATATATGAGTAAACATCAGCATCCAGAAATTCCACCACATTCAAATCTCAAGGAAATGAAAAGTCAGAGAGTAAAAACCCAAAAGGAGGAGACTATATGGACCTTCCAAAGTAAAAACCAAAGTACCAATGCAGGTCCCTCTTCCTCAAAACATCCTCCATCAACATGTGCAATATGTCCTAGCTTTGTGGTAATACCTTGTACCTGCTACCCAGCAGGAGCATCCCAACGCATCTGTGAAATTACCCTTAGGTAATGGCATTTGTGAAGAGATGAAAAACCAGTGCTCTAAAACGGATAAGCTGCAACTCCAAAACGTAGGCTTGGAAACCAATGGGCAGTAACAAACAATAGGTAGATAATTCAAGAGATGGGTTAGAGAAATAAAATTACAGCAGGTCAATCAATAAGCATATTCTATCTCTTCATCGAAACCATAGTCAGAAAATTGAGACTGCTTCTTTTTCTTCTTCATTTTCTTTTTTTGAGTTTTGGTTAGAGGTTTGCTGAGGGGTTTATGATCTTCTATCTTGTTAGGACAGCAAAGTTTGAAGAATTTGATAACCTCGTCCTCATGTGATTCTTGGGGATCTAACAAGTCTTCTTCTTCGACCCAGCCGATAGGATTAAATTTCCTTCCTTGCTCAAGGATTTTAGCCTTACTCCTCATAACAATTTGTGACGGTGAGTACGTCCTTCTTCCCTTTAGTTCCTTACGGAGATGGAGGGGGTGTTTGGAGCATCTTGAGAAGTCAATTTGCAAAGGTTTGAGCTTTGTGTCTATGAAAACAAAATCCTCCCCATCGGAGTGGGTATAGAGAATGGGTCCTTCCCTGTCCTTGGTGTGATCTTCCACTGCGTTGAGGGATAGAACCAAGCTTTGGCCATTGAGATTTGTAAAGGGGTCTTCTTCCGGCTCAGCAGTAGCTTTGAATCCTTGATCCTTAGTGAAAATATCAGTGTAGGAGTATACAGCGGGCACAAAGGTGGGAGCAAAAGGACTAAGGATTTTCCGTGGCAGAGGTGGAAACTCTTCGATTTGGCTTGTGGAAAGGCTATAATTAGGAGCTGCTTTGGTTTGGAAAATAACGAGTTGCTTGTTAGTTACCGTAGAGGTGGGATCTCCAACAAAGCCTTCTGAACTTGTGACATCACCACTTCGTTGGGTATTTACATCCTGTCCTGTTGTAGGCAGCGATGAAGCTGCACTTCCGGTGGGAGAATGGCGCAGAGGTTCCTGGAGTTCCCCAAGCACACACACCTTTGAGCTTTCCTCAAGGTTGGTAGCTCTCTTGGTGAATAAGGAGAGAGCCTTGGTGAAGAGATTTGGGCCATCAGCGAATGAATCAAAGGGGATAGCTAGGAAAGTACTGCCCTCTCTTCTAATCTCTTGGATTTTCACAAATTTACCTCTTTTATTGCTACCACTGAAAAGATAAATGGTCCTATTGTCCTCTGTTTTGGATACTTCCCAACAGTTAGGCTTCGAAAAAAAGGCAGAGAACCCAGGATCCAATTAACAGTTTCCAAATCAAACCAGATGCAATATCTTCTAGCTCCAAAATCAGAAATGCAGAAGTTGTGATTGTAGAAGGAATAAAAGAGCTCAAATACCTTATTATGTGTTTGGAAATTGAATCTAATCTTCCGGGTGTTTGCCGTAGAACACTCTTCAATTCCATTAAAGCATAATCTGGAGTAACTGTAAACATATTGGCCACGTTTTTCTTTAGGGAGGGGGTTCTTGAAGGGCCTTCCACTCAATCGTTGCTGAAAGTTGGTCTTAGGAAGATGAAATCTGCATTTCCTATGGAATGCTTCACATCGGGCATAGCGTGTAGAATATCTTGTCCGACCATTATATATTTTCTGACGATGAGGTATATCGCTAAAGGAGGAAGGTCGGTGATGAGACACAGCCCCAAAACCACCACTTCTCCTTCTCTCTAGAAAAGCCATATATATATATATATATATACACACACACACACACACACACACATATACACACACGTATATACATATACATACATACATACATACATATACATACATACATATATATATATATATATATATATATATATATATATATATATATATATATATATATCAAATGCAAGACCAGAGTTTGGGTCATGCTTCTATTTGGTTCTTGCTGGTAGTGAGCTTTAATTTTGTGTTTGACAGTTTATCGAGGACGCTTTGCAATGTCAGCTAGAAATCGGTTGAACAAACCTCCCGCTTTCTTAACAGGTTGTAAAAGCTTGTTCATTGGTACTAGAATTCTAGTTCCAGCATCCAAGACAATCACCACATTTACGGTAATTCGTCCGCTAAGCTTACTCACGTTTCCTTGAGCATCTGTAAGAGGACATCACATAAGTAGCACATACATAAGATTGTTGCAAAGAGAAGGTTCAGAAGCATAAAAGTGATGAAAATTAACACGTATTAATACCTATGGTCAACACTTCTTCATCGTCATTAAACCCTTCAGGTACGGGTATAAGAGATGGATCCAAATCAAATACGACATCAGAGTCATCACGATCTCCATAATCATGATTGTAGTGATTATCCTCTTCACTATAAGTTTCATCTATATCATGCACAGTAAATTCGTTTGGAGCTCCGCCTTCGTTTTCAAGCAAGTGCTGATACTCTTCAAAGGTACGCTTTGAACGAAACATTACTTCCACAAATTAGATCTATGCGGCATAAACTGTTAGCTTCAAGGCATATCATGTAATATACATTCTACATGCCCTAAGTAATCAGTTCTGGCACTGCACTTAGGCTAGGAAATCCGGCAAACATAACCTACATCACCCAAGTAAGAACAGCCCCAACAAGCCGCAAGAACCAAAGTAACTAAGTGAGCCAAAGTGAGCCATCAAGTTGCCCAAACATTCCTCCCAAACCCCAACCGAAAGGGTCAAGCGGACCACGAACAAGGGCTGCCAACAATAGAAAGAACTACCACCATGCAGGTTAAAACAGCCCCAACAGTAAGGGGTAGCTCACTTGTTGTCACGACATTAATGGGATGACAATTTCAAAAAGATTCGTTGGAAGCGATATACATTGCATTATAGCTTAGGGTTGAGCTTAGATAGTGAGTTTTAGTATACTCAATTTAGAATATTGCCAATTCATTTGTAATATCCAAAAAAATATACATTAACCGAACCAAAGTCACTACCAACGAGAAGTCCTAGGCAAAAGTTTTGAAAAAACACAAAAAGAATTAATCCCAAATGATGAAACTAGAAGTCATTCTGGCCATTACTTTTTTTTATCATTACCCGTCAGTCCCTTCATTTGGCGATTGTGAAGTACATGGAGAAATTTTGTCAAACAGGGACTTTTAGGAAGTGCTTGGAGATATTTGGGAAGTGCATGGAGAAATTGGTCAAACACGGACTTTTAGGATATCAAACAAACACAGACCTATGGAATTTGGGATCTTAACAAAATCTAAGTCTGTGATGTGCCCCTGTCCCCTGTCCCATAACAAAAACTGTGCATTATAGTTGTTTCAGGATGTACTAGCTGGATCCTCAGAAATCATGGAACCATCTTTTATCTAAAAGGGAAGCCCCTAACATTTCATTTATCTAAAAGGTGAAGCACCAACATTTCATTAGTCTAAGAGAGGAAGCACAACCGGCCTTCTTATAAATTTCAAATACATTATGTAAACATTCCCCCGTAAGTTGTATCAACTAGATAATGTATACTTTCAAGCCACACCATAAAAGCTTAGAACAGAGCAAACAAATGCCTCTATTCCATATATGAATTAACTATCCTCATTCCAGAAAACACAGCAAAGAATAAGAGATCAAAAAACAATGCCTATACATTTTATTGAGTATTTATATCAATTAGGAGTAAATATCTTGCAACTCAATAAGGCTGTACAGATTTTTAGGGTCTAAATTTTAAAAATTAGCACAATAGATTTTTAGACAATATAATTTCAAACAATCTAATTTCAAGACAATCTAATTGCAGGCCAAACGAATTGAATGCTAAGATGATACGCAAGATAGATTAGGTTTACATACATGGCCGGTGGATTGTGAAATTGATGCTGAAGGACTGATGCACACTGATGTAGGCCGGAGGAGATGTGCGCCAAAGAGATGAATGTTATGCGTGCGCCAGAGATAGAACGCGATGGTGCGCCACAAAGATGAGCGATTCCAGGGCTAGAGATCAGAACGAGTGAGAATGGATCGATAGATTAGGTTTACAGATTTTGGTTTGAGGAGATGAATTATTAGGCGGAATAATGGAGCGGAGAATGAAAACTTAAGCGCGAGATTAGATTTTTAGTGAATTAGAATAAGCGGGCTTAGATTTTTTAAGGTGGTTAGGGATTAATTTTAGAATTTCAATTACTAAAGTGTAATTAATTTAATAAATTGAATACATTTTATTAAATTAAGTATATATAATTGATTTGGCACACTTTATTATGTGGGTACATGAAATTATTTATAACAACTCTTTTAAGTGTGGAGAAATATTTAAGTGTTAAATTTTATTGCCACACTTAGTCAAGTGTGGCAAATTAAATGCGGTGAAACTCATAATTTCTTGTAATGTATGTTCCTTTCTTTAGTGTTTTGGATTTTTGTGCTTTGGCCATGTGTTGGGGACGGCCACCCCCCTTTTGTACCTTTCTCCTTTTTTTATGAATAAAAAAAATTAATATATATATATATATATATATATATATATATATATATATATATATATATATTCATAAACTTTCTCTCACTACATCGGAATTCTCTCTACATATGACCGGAATACACGCCGGAGAGGGGCAACAGCCCCCTCCGCCCAAAAGCGTTAATATCCCTCGCCAGCAACAGGCTGGCACTCCTCAAGCCAAAAGCTTCCTGGCGGCAGTGACATGCTGCAACATCCCCAGCCAACAGATAGAGCACGGAAGGCCATGTGTTAGCTTCACGAAGGAAGAGGTGGAAATCCTTGCTGAAAGATTTAACAGAGCTCTGGTTGGTTCCTTCTTCCATGGCAGACCTTCACTCCCTTTTATCCGTTCTCACCTGGAAAAGATAGGCTTCACAGACTTCTCAGTCACACTGCTAGATGAAACCCATGTGCTGCTTCATTTCACCAAGGATGAGGACTTCTTAAGGTGCTTCAAAAGATATGAATGGAAACTTGGATGCTTTGAAATGAAGGTGTCAAAATGGACACCAAATTTTGATCCCAGGTACGAATCTCCTTTCCTTCCAATTTGGGTGGCTATAAAAAACCTACCTATTCACCTACATGATAGAAAATCCTTGCTAGACATAGCCCAGGTGTTTGGAAAGCCCATAAAATTGGATGCCACCACTGAAAATTTTGGACGCCCATCTCTTGCTAGAGTGTGTGTTGAGGTTGTTATCTCACAACCACAAATAACCAAGTTCTGTGTCCAAAATGGAGAAATCCCATTAATTCTCTCTGCATACTACGAAAATGTTCCACTTTTCTGCCACGAATGCAGAGGTGTTGGAAGACACAATCATGGTTGCAAATTTTGCACCCCCCAGCACAAAAAACCCAGCTCCTAAACCTGCCCGGAATACCTTGCCGGAATCAAAACCAGCTGAAAGATTCCACTACAAGGCCATCAACAAAGGGCCAACTGAGAACTTCCACAAAGGCCCCATCCAGAACCCCACTCCAAAAAACACCACACACTATATCCAACCCACTACAGATTAAGCCTCTACCTCCCAAAACATCAGCGTGACCCCTCTGATCCCCACCCAAGAAGCCACTCCCATTCAAGCTACAAACCAAAACACTACAAAACAAACACCTGACCCCAACCCCCAACACAAACTCAAACCCCACAGTCAGTAAATTCCCCTACTATTTTACCCACACCTGTTGAACCAGATGAAGATGCTGACCTGCTTTTTCATGATTTCATCTTCAAAGAATGCATCTCAATCTGGGACAAACACCAACCTAAAATCATAGCAATACCACAACCAGTCACAACCCTTCTGGATACCAACCAATCTCAGGATGATCTGGATATACCACTCTCTGCCCAAAACAATGTCCATTTCCTTTCTGATGAAGAGCAGACTTCTAAGAATAAAAACACCACCCACAAATTGCAGCTCCATAAACCCCCATTTAACCAACCCCTTTCTGCAGATCACACCTTCAGCAAAGCACCTCCCTCCTCCATCAGAAAATCAAAAAGGCTACAGGACAAATCCTCCTCAAACAGTTCACCCCCCACCCCATCACAATGAATTGCATCTTCTAGAATGCCTGTGGTGTAGCCCCAAAATCCCAAAGGCTAGCACTGCTAATCAAACAACACAAAATACATATAATTACAATCCTTGAACCCAAAGCCAAGTCAACCAAACTCCAGCATTACCAACTACTTTTTGGCTTCACTCACTCAATCTTCTCTCCTGATAACAGAATGTGGATCATGTGGTCTGATAGCCATTTGCATCACATCTCTCATATCCACCTGGACCAAATCACCAACATTAATTTCATTATAAAACAAAACAACACACACATCCTCCACTCATCAGTTTATGGCAAATACTCCAAGATAGACAGACTTCCCCTATGGAACAACATCCATACCACAGCCATCAACACAGATGTTCCATGGATTCTAGGGGGAGATTTTAACTGTATTACCTCTGTAGACCATCACAAAGGCAAAAGTTCCCCTTGTCTGACTAGCATTGGAGATTTTGATAACTGTATCCTGAACTCCTCCCTCCTAAGTCCTGAATACTCTGGTACCCCATTCACTTGGACTGGCATCAGATCATTGGGAAGAACCTGGAGGAGAATTGACAGAATATTTCACAACCATATTCTAGCCAGCAATTTCAGTAGCATCTCCTCTGAGCACCTGGCCAGATGTGGTTCAGATCACACACCCATACTTGTTTCCCTTTACAACCCAATCTTTAAAGGACATAAACCATTCAGATACCTTAACTGCTGGAGCAACCACCCTTCCTTTGACAAACTCGTTGAAGAAAACTGGGGCAGATATACAGGTGGAGGAATGCATGGTCTGTCTCAAAAACTCCAATCCTTACAAAGAACCCTTTGCACCTGGAACAAGCACACCTTTGGCAATATATTCTCCAGAGTCAGATCCCATAAAAACCAACTCAAAGATGCTGAAACTAGCTTTGATACCCTCCCAACACCTGAAAACAGAGAGACAATGAATGCTGTCAGAGCAAACCTAACCCTAGCAGCACATGATGAATACCTATACTGGAAACAGAAGGCAAACCTAAAATGGGCAAAAGAAGGGGATCTTAACACAGCTTTCTTCCACTCCAAAGTCAAAGAAAAAAGACACCATCAAACCATCAGGAAAATCAAAAACCAGAGTGGGAACTGGTCAAGCAACCAGGTGGAAATTCAGGATATCTTTCACAAGCACTTTAACGCCCTATTTCAACATGAACAAACCCCTCTCAATAATTCCTTCACCATCAACATCCCTTCCCTCATAACCCCAGAGGATAACCTCCTTCTTACCCAACTCCCCCTAGAAGATGAAGTGAAAACAGCAGTCTGGGCTTTGAAAGCTGACAGTGCAGCAGGGCCAGATGGCTACAATGGAAACTTTTTCAAAAAGCACTGGAATTGGATAAAGGAGGATGTCACTAAAGCAACACAAGAATTCTTCCTTGGAATCAAGATGCCAAAACAGATGGCACTATCCACTATTATTCTCATCCCCAAGAAAGAGAACCCATCCTACTCTGAAGACTACAGACCCATATGTCTTTCCAATTTTGCTGCAAAAATCATTCCCAAAATCTTTGCAACAAGACTGGGTAACCTTCTTCCTAAGGTTATCTCTCAGGAGCAGGGGGGTTTTGTCAAAGGGAGGTCCATAAATGAACAAGTACTTCTAGCCCATGAGATGCTGCATGGTATTAACCATAACACAAGAGGGGGGAAACCTAATCCTAAAACTAGACATGTCTAAGGCCTTTGATAGAGTTTCCTGGGAATACCTATTGTCAATACTAGACAGATTTGGTTTTGACAAAAAAATTCCAACTTCTCATTCATAACCTACTATAAGCCACTCTTCTCTCCATCTCCATCAATGGACATAATACTAAACCTTTCAGCCCAGGGAGGGGACTTAAACAAGGAGACCCCCTCTCCCCTCTTTTGTTTATCATAGCTGCTGAAGGATTTAGCAGAACTCTCAATGCCTACATGCAATCTGGAAAACTTGAGCCCTACAAGATGGGAAGAAATCACATGAATATCCATCATCTAGCCTATGCTGTTGACCTCATCATCTTCCTAAATGGGGGGAAGCAAAATCTGACCAGATTCAGGACTTTTCTTAAACACTATGAGGAAACCTCAGGACAGACAGTCAATCTACAGAAATGCAATTTCTATAGCCTGTGTAAAACCCCCTTACATGTCTCCCTCATGCAACAAAACACACTAGGCATGAAAAAAGGAACCCTTCCTTTCAAATACCTAGGTGTCCAGATACACAGGGGGATCAACAGGAAGCAATACTGCACATCCCTCCTACAGCATTTTGAGAAAAAACTCAGTGGATGGGACAAAAATTTACTTAACCAAAGTGGTAAAGTGATCCTAATCAAGCATGTACTAAGCTCCATCCCCATACATACTCTTGGATCCACACAACTCCCAAAAAGCATCATCCATATTCTTCACATGAAGATGTCTAACTTCCTTTGGGGGGGAACTAAAGATAAACACAACTACCATTCGATGGAATGGGAAAAGATCTGCTACCCTAAGGAAGAAGGAGGATTGGGACTCACTTCCCTCATCACACTACAGGAAGCTTATGGTCTTAAGATGTGGTGGAACTACCTAAAAAATGACTCACTTTGGGCAGCCTACATGAGAACCAGATATCCAAGAGGAATCAACATTCATCCCCAGGCAATTGATTCACCCACATGGAGAAGACTTTGCTCAATTAATGAAAAAGCACCACTCACATTAGGCATCACTGCTGACAACAGAGTTAAATGGAACACTAGGGAAATGGACTTCAGCATTAAACTTGCAACAAAAAACCTAAGACCCTACAACCCACCCATACCTGCAATGTCCTTCATATGGAACCCCACCCAAATACCCAAAGTCTCCACCTTCCTCTGGAAACTCTACCATAGTCTCCTACCGTACCCCCAAAAACTAACAAAGATGGGATATAACCTCCCATCAATCTGTTTCTTGTGCAGGTATAGTGAAGAATCAACATGGCACTCCTTACACGAATGCCCTTTCAGCAGAGAAATCTGGAATCATTTTGAGGAACTCTTTGGAATTCACAGAAGTGTCAACCATGGCATAAGAAGTTTCCTCTTAAACTGGTGGAATCAACTGAAAAAACACACAAAGGACTACAACCTAAAAGTTGCACTACCAGGATTTATAACGCACGCTATTTGGAAAGAGAGGAACTTTCGCATCTACAATGAGGAAGAACATACAACAGCCCAGATACAACACCAAATCATCAAACAAATTTACGAGTATAGCGCAATTAAAGGGAAAGGAACCAGTATCACTAGCCATATACCAGTCACAAAGATGGGAGCAATACAGACCTTCAGATGGATTTTCCCAAAGCAAGGAATCTGTGTCACCACTAATGTTGCAATTTCCCATGATCGTATGGCAGCAGCAGCGATCATCCGGCAGAGAAACGGAAATTTCATTGGAGCATGGACAAAAATTTCGCAGGGTGAAACAGACCCAGAAGAAGGTGAGGTAAAGGCAGTAGCGCTAGGAGTCAAACGCAGCAAATTTCTTGGTCAACCTATTAATCTCTACATGGACTCAAAGAATGGGGTGAGAAAAATTAAAGAATCATCCAACTCCTCCCACAAAGAAATCATGGAAACAATACAGAAATCAGGGGGGAAAATAAGTCACATTTATCGGGAAGCAAATACTGCGGCACACAACCTCGCAAAGTTTACACTTACTAACGATTTCAGCACTTATTATTCTCAATTAGAGCATCTACCCAAAAATGTCAGGGGGGCTCTAATCATTGATGTATCTTTAGTTTTCTTCCGTATTAAATAATGATAAAATTTTCATTTAAAAAAAATAAAATAAAATAAAATGAGTATTAATAATTTTGTTGTGCATTGTTTTGCATTTATCAATCATTTGCCCTTCTTTCTTGCTTAGCAATTCATATGATGGATAGAAGTTGGATTCATATGTCGCGTACATCACCTGAGTTTAGTTCTGGTTTGGAAGAGTTTATTCGTTTCGCAGAGAAACATTCAAAAGAAGGAAAAAAGCTATATTGTCCTTGTAACTCATGTCACAACCATTTTATGGTTGATAGCGTTAAAGAAATAAGAATACATGTGTATCGCAAGGGTTTTGACCCAACATACCTGCGATGGAAATGGCATGGAGAATTAGAAAATCCTTGCAGCTCTAGCTATACTCATAATTACCAAGTCGAAGATGATATTCACAACATCCACAATCTTGATGTTGAAATGGAAGATGAATTAGGGGCCACTCAAGATGTTCCTCCTGATAAAGTCGTCATTGATGAGGAGCGTAATATGTATGAGAGCTTAGTAGGAAGCTCAAAATGTCCGTTGTATCCTGGTTGTACAAAGTTTACACGTTTGAAGGGGGTTTTGGAATTGTTCAATTTAAAAGTAGCAAATGGGTGGAGTGACAAAAGTTTCACGTCTTTATTAAGTTTGTTGGGTGAACTTCTTCCAGATGGACACGAACTGCCATCGTCCACTTATGAGGCGAAGAAAATGATGTCTCCAATGGGTGAGGGCTACAAGAAGATACATGCTTGTGTTAATGATTGCATTTTATATCGAAATGAGTTTGAGGATCTCAATGAATGTCCCAATTGTTTTGCTCCAAGATACAAGGAGTCAACCAAAATGACTCATAACAAGGACAATATGAAAAAAACCAAAAAGACTCCGGTTAAGGTTTTGTGGTACCTTCCAATAATACCAAGGTTCAAGCGTTTGTTTGCTTCAATAAAAGACGTTAAGAATCTAGTGTGGCACACTGAGCAGCGAAAAGATAATGGCACCCTGCGTCATCCTGCCGATGCCCCACAGTGGAAGACGATTGACTACACATTTCCGGAGTTTGGGAACGAGGGGAGAAACCTTCGATTGGGATTGTGTACTAGCGAAATCAATCCTTTTGGAAGCTTGATTACGCAACATAGTACTTGGCTGGTACTGCTTGTCATTTACAATCTTCCTCCAGAGTTGTGCATGAAGCGCAAGTACATCATGCTATCGTTGTTAATACCTGGGCCTAAACAACCGGGTAATGACATTCATGTATTCTTAGCCCCAATGATTGATGACTTGAAGGAAATGTGGATTCATGGTGTCAAAGTATTCGATGCTTATCGTCAAGAGTGCTTCACGTTACGTGCTATGATTCTTTGGACAATCAATGACTACCCAGCATACGGTAACCTATCTGGTTATAAGATTAATGGAAAATATGCATGTTCGATATGTGAGGAGAATACTTCTAGTGTGTGGCTAAAGAATGAAAAAAAACAGTCTTTCTAGGTCATCGCCGATTTTTAAGACGTCAACACCCTTACCGTCGCATGAGAAAAGCTTTCAATGGTCAAGCAGAAAATGAGGTTGCTCCAAAAGTATTGAGTGGCAAAGCATTACATGAAAAGTTGAAGAACATAAACCATACATTTGGTAACTCATAAAGTTGATCAAAACGGTCCTATTTGGAAGAAAAGATCAATATTTTGGGAACTACCTTATTGGGAGTGCTTATCTGTTAGACATTGTCTTGATGTGATGCATATAGAAAAAAATGTATGTGATAGTCTTATTGGCACCCTCCTAAATGTTCCTGACAAGACTAAAGATGGTGTTAATGCCAGAAACGACTTAATAGACATGGGCATTCGAACTGAGCTTGGACCGCAAGAAAAAGGACATCGCACATTTCTCTTGGCCTCCTGCTTGCTACACACTTTCTAGAGAAGAAAAAATCACTCTTTGTCAATGTCTACGTGATATAAAGGTTCCACAAGGGTATGCTGGAAACATTAAGAGTCGTGTGTCGATGAAGGATTTGAAATTGAACGGTCTTAAATCTCATGATTGCCATGTTTTAATTCAGCATTTCTTGCCAGTGGCAATTAGATCAATATTGCCAACGAATGTGAGGAGGGAAATAACTAGACTTTGTTATTTTTTTAACGCCATTTGTAGTAAGGTCATTGATGCTGAAATGTTGGATCAATTACAAGAGGAAGTGGTAGTCACCTTATGTGAATTTGAGATGTTTTTTCCTCCATCATTTTTTGATATCATGGTCCATTTAGTTGTGCATTTGGTGAGAGAAGTTAAACTTTGTGGCCCTGTTTTTCTTCGGTACATGTATCCATTAGAAAGATTTATGGGTATTTTGAAAAGATATGTGAGGAACCGGTATAGACCTGAGTGTAGTATTGTTGAAGGATACTTGGAAGAAGAGATTATTGAATTTTGTAGCGAGTATTTGGATTTGGAGTGCATGGTTGGGGTACCGAAGTCTCGGCATGAAGGTAGAACTCAGGGGAAAGGAACAATAGGACATCACATCATCCACATTGACTATGAAATATTCAATTTAGCACAACTCTATATTTTACAACAAACAGATGATGTTCGTCCGTATTTAGAGAAACACATGTCTCTTTTATGACAACAGAACCCCGGGAAAATTGAGAGGTGGTTGACGAATGAGCACAATCGTATATTTCTAAAATGGTTTCAAGAGCATGTTCGCTAGCAAACAATACATTCTCCTAATAATGTCACAGAAAATGTGCGATCATTAGCTACAGGACCTTCGGTAAATGTATCTTCTTACAAGGGGTACTACATCAATGGCTATTATTTTTACACAAAACGTCAGGATGAGAAGAGTAAAGTACAGAATAGAGGCGTGTCATTGAATGCTTCTTCTCTACACATTCCTAGGGGTAAAGATTTGATACCGATCCGGTCATACAAAACATACTATGGCGTGATCGAGGATATATGGGAACTCGAATATACAACTTTCACCATTCCTGTTTTCCGGTGTAAATAGGTGGATATCAACAAGGGGATTAAATCAGATGACATGGGGTTTAAATTAGTGAATTTTCAAAAGTTGGGTCATCATGAGGAACCGATTATAATGGCCTCTCAAGCGATGCAAATCTATTACATTGTTGATCCTAAAGATAAAAATTGGTCTATTGTTCGACAAGGGAAGAGAGCATCATTTGAGTTGAACGACGGTTTATACGACGAAGCAACTCATATTTCAATGATTTCGCCAAACTCACAAGTTGATGATATAGGAGCAAAATACATTCGCGAAGATCACGAAGAAGGATTATGGATAGATGGGGGAAAGAAAAAGTTAAAATAATGCTTTAGGTATTTTTTTCTGTTTATATTGATCATTTTCATTTAAGTCATTGTTGTTTCACTTTTATTATACTTATGTTGTCTAAATTATTTTGAATTTGTGCAGGTATGGCGGACCAACGGAAGAGGAAAAAGGTTAGAGGTGCAGGGAAGTGCGAGAAGCTTTATAAGAGGAGGAGGGAGGGTCACCCGCCTATAGAGCTTGAGTGGGAGCGTGGGGAGCCTATACGTGGTCCGTATGTTTCGGAGTTTTCTGGGCTTGTAGGGTTTGAGGTTCGATCGAGAGTGCCGATTACTTATAAGAATTGGCATGATGTCCCGCAAGACCTGAGGGCCACGGTACTAGACGGGGTTCGGGTAGGTACCACTTATTTATCTAAATCTGCTATCTTTAATTGTTACATGGTTCTATATATAATAAGTTGTTGCTTCATTTTCTTGTAGGATATATATGTGATACCTCCCGTTGGGGCCCGACATGTTATGACAGTTGCCGCGGAGAGACTTTGCGCTTTCCGGACATATTTACGAAAAGCCTATTTGAAGGAAGGTGGGGATCATTACGGCAAGTATCCCCCTAATGATTATACCTTCGTAGAGTGAGAGCATTGGGAGGAGTTTCTGATCCAGATGGGGACTCCGGAAGCTAAGGTAAACCATAATTACCTTCATTGAATGAATTTATTAACTGACATATTAATTTATTTTAAACAATTGTTTTAGGCTTTTAGCGAGAAGAATAGGAATATACAGAAGAAGAATTCCTATCCGCACTATATGGGCCGAGGTGGATATGCCATGCTCCAGCGTGAGTTTGCCTCTGCTTCTCAGGCCACCACTTCTGTTGATATCGCTGGTTCGTCTATCGAGACGAGTTCTCAGCTCAGACAGGAGGACTCTTAGTTGCGAGGTCACACCCCGGGGAGGCAGGCACAAGTTACGGACCCTGCACTGATGGAGATTCGCGATAGGATAGTAAGCATATAATCTACAATTACGTCAATATATTTGTTTATTATTTGCTTACAATTTCTTTACTTCTTTTCTTTCTTAATTGTAGGTTCAGCTGAAGAAAGAGGTCGCAGCCGGTACCTTTGTGCCACATGGGCACAATGATGTACTGACTAGAGCTTTAGGGACTGCCAAGCACCCAGGACGGACGAGGGGTGTTGGGTCATATTCGGGCTTACGTAAAGTTTTCAAAGGCAACATGAAGCCTCGTAACTATATGACTGAGGAGGATCTTTTGCAGCCTCTTCCTTCCCTTCTGCAGCAGTATGGACTATCTGTGTCCGGGAGTGCTCCAGAAGGGGCATCCATGTTGCAGCACACACCGTCTGTACCACCTCATTATGAGCAGCGTAGTAGCAAGGCGTCTACAAATTATGTTGACGTCGCCGGTGTCACTGAGGTACATATATTTTGTAATTAAGGTTTCAAGTTTAGTTTACGTTTACTTGTTTCTGACATTAGTTTACTAATTGTGTTTTGTAGGTTGCTCCTTGTTACTTGAGGATCTCTGATCTAGCAGATTACATAGTGGCACATGGATCGATTTTCCCACGTGCACCGGGAGATATGGTGCACGGTGTTCCCCTCCTTCCCCACCAGGTTAAGGTCTCTGTGACCCTTGTGCTTCCTGGAATGGGTGAATATACCAATCCTTGTCCGACTGAGCATATGGAGACTGTGGCCGATTGCGAGGGGAGCTTCGTTGCATGGCCTAAGTCGTTGGTGGGCGTTGGAGATGTAAGAAGTAAATAAATTTAGTTCTTTTTTATTCAACATCATTTAGGCTGTGTTTCATATATCATTTTTTTGAAAATATTCGTAGCCTCTGGTGCAGACGGCTCGACATGGCGACTTCTCATCAAGCAAATCTCGTCCCATTCTTGGCATACGTCCCACTGCTCCTAGTTCTCCCGTACAGGATGTTGTTGACTAGAGATCATACGTCGCATTCGGGCCGAGGTGCAGAGAGTTGTGTCAGTGGCTGACACACACATCTGCTTTACCTACCATCAGTGTTATTCTCAATCCTGAGTCCATGCTCTATCCGGAGGAGACGGAGCTGAGGATGCGTCCAGAGAATATACGTGAGTTCATGCGACGGGAGGAGGTCGATCAGACCATCATCATTGTTTTCTTTAGGTATGTCAAGCACTATGTATGAATAAATTACTATTGTAATTATAATTATTTCTTATAATTGTAATTCTTGTTTACATGTGAAACTACTAGATTGTTGCACGATCATATGATGGAGCAGGGCATTGTCCAGAGAACATGGCATACGTAGTAAAATATGGAGATCGCTAGTATCTGGATAGAGCATTCGAGACCTATCAATCGTGACCCTGGATACTTATGCCGTTGTATCTACCGACACCGTATGTTTTCTAAATCATTTCCAATATGTATTTTGGTTTTTTATTTTAAGTTTGTGACTAACGCTTTTTCAATTATAGGCGACATTGGGTGTTAGTTGTAATATGTTTGTTTGAAAACAAAGTATATTTTCTAAACTCAATCAAGTCGACCGGAGGGCATAAGAAAATGAAGGTGAAGACTTTCGTCATCGAGTGAGTATTAAGATATTTATTTCTTATTAATGAAATTTTTTATTTGTTAAGATATTAATTTCTTATTAATGAAATTTTTTATTTGTTAAGATATTAATTTCTTATTAATTTGTTTTTTACATATATTAAAGGTCTTGGCGGTTACTTCGGGAACGACATATGTCTCAGCTTAAGGCTCGACCGGATTGGGTTGATGTTCCCGGAGTACCCCAACAAGAAGGGAACGTTGAGTGTGGTTATTATACAATGCGATTTTTTTGGCTCATCGTCAATATGTGTGCAAAATGTTCAGTACCGTTATCCGAGGTAAGTTTGTTTTAGTGTTTTTGAAAGTAATGAAATGTAGGGTAATGATTATTAAACTTTATGTCGTATGTTGTTTTCATATTATTGCAGGTATTTCAGTCTACCATGCCTTATACTAGAGCCGAGTTAGAGGTGATTAGTGAGTTTTGGGCGGGGGGTTTTCTCGATGAACTTGTGTAAGTCCCATTTGTGTTGTACAATGTAGTTGTTAGGCTTTTAGTTGTGTTGTTAAAACTTAGAAGAGTACGTAGTAGTTTTACTCTTATATTTTTTAACATGTACAAGTGGTGTGGATGCAAATGTTTAGTTTTTTGGTTTAATTTGTTTTGTGGCATTTGATTTGAGTTTTGTAAATGCATTTGTGTTAGTTACTTTTGTGTTGATGGGTTGAATTTTCTGCAAAGTTGAAATGGAGTGGATCGGGAACAAACAAAATTGGCATTTTTAAAATTTTATACCTTTTTGAATCGGTTATTTTGTAATAACCGATTCAAATGCCTCTACCCAAAAATGGCGCCATTTCTGGAAATGGCTTTTGCATCGGTTATTTGGTAATAACCGATTCAAAAAGCGTCTTCCCAGAATTGGCGCCACTTCTGAGGAGGGCTTTTGCATCGGTTTTAACAACCGATGCAAAAACATACCTGAGTATTTGCATCGCTGGCTTTTGTATCGGTTCAAAACCGATTTAAAAGGGTCTAAATAACCGATTTAAAAGATTATTTTTGTAGTAGTGAGAGGCCGATTGATCGGCTTGGCGAGAGTTGGACGACGGGGAAGCCGAATCGGAATCGGAAACAATCATGGTGTCGAGAAAGGGAACTGATCTAAAGCAGAAGAAAAACGGGTCGGGTAACGGCGGAATCACTAACAGATGGCAATGGAGAAGGCAAAGGGAGAAGATTGGCGTCCAGCGGAGGTTTTAACAGATAGTAGGAAGGCGAAGCAGCAAGCAATAATTACCTTTTAGTGGAGATCGTGCCCAAACGTCACGCGAAACCTAAGGAACGGCCCGGATCTGCGCTGGAACGCCCACGTGGACCTTGTAAACTCCCCATCCCTCAACGTGGCCCAGTCGAGGAATGAGGAGTTGGGGGGCTTGTGATGGGCCGATATCCAGCGCGCGGCCCAATTGAATCATTTAGTAGACTTTGGGTCAGGCGCACAGGAAGTACTTAGGCATGGGCCGGCCCATAATGTGAGGCCCGGTCAACTCCAATCAAGCACAGCTGGCAGAGCCAGTTGAGAGGAGAAGACGAAGCTGAATGGCGAAGACGAGGCCGGAAAAAGTGGATCGCGCCATTGACGGGATAGACTCCCTTTGATTATGTATTACGTTATACCTTAACTGTCTAGAACCTATGTATAAATAAAGGAGAATCGACAGGGGAAAACTCAAGCTAAATCAAGCTAATAATACACACCTAATTCTCGAATTCTTGTTTTTCATACTTTTCTTACGATCCGTTCTTTTAATCGGATCATTTGATGGATTTATTGTTCATATTTATTTTTAAAATTATTTTAAATTATTTTATTTACTTGAAAAAGTACACAAATAACAAATTTGTGTAGTTTGTATCCAAATTATTTGTGACTCTAGCATTATTCTTTCTTAAAATTGAAATGATATAAAGTCTTTTACTTTATCAATCCACATGGCAGCAAATCAATGGAGGGACCCCATGCCCTCTCATTTGCTTGGGGATCCGAGAAATGCCCAAAGATAAATAGATTGGAGATGAAAAAATTAAAAAAGAAAGTAAATATTCAAATTTTCTAATATGGTTATAGAAGAGGAGCAACAATGGAATAGATTTTATAAAAAAAATTGATTTTTTTAAATTTCCACATACGTGCCACAAAAGTTATGTCATGTGTCGAGTTTTTAAAGCTTCAAACCTCCTTCAATTGATTATACTCGTATTTTTTTAGCTCTCGTTCATTACGAGTAACTTTTAGAATCCAAATAAAATTTTTATTTAGCTTTTTCTCTTTATTCAAGACATCGATGTACACTCTCCGTCCCAAACCTAATCTTTCTACTTTTTTACTACGCCTTTACTCATCTACGGAGTATTAAGGTAAATAATACTCTCTCCGTCTTAAAATAAATTAATTGTTTATTATTCACAAGATTAAACTTCATACACTTTCTTTTCTTATTTTCGTTAGCCATTTAATAAAATAATAGTATTGTCATTACTAATTTTATAGATTTTATGAAATAATTTTTATGTATGTAATTTTATTTTTTAATTATACACTATTTTTAATATAAATTGATTTGAAAATAGATTATATCGTAAACCAAAACAAATAATTTAAATTAGGACGGATGGAGGATGCCATTAACAATATTTCTTTCTTCTAAATACTCCATAAATTTCAACCACACTTCTTTACTTTTCAATAATCCGTTCTTTTCTTTTGCTTCATAAAATCAAACAAGGATGACGAATTCAACATAGAGGCAGTAACACTTCGAGAATGAATGAAAGAATAAATTACTCCGTAGTAAAACATCACCAATTCATTTCTAGTCTTCAAATTTTAGAATCCCCTAACATAACCAATAAAAAGATGTCTTGGGAAGTATACAAAAATGCAGTATAATCTCAACATTGCTTGAATTCGATGTTAAGATTACGCAGTTCTCCTGTGGTAGAAACAATGTTAATAGTAACAAATAATAGTACATTAGAAAGACAATAACCGTTTAAAGTTAACCAAGAGCAGTGAGATACAAATAGCAAATTCTCAAGAACATAGGAACTACATAACCAAAGTCAAAAGTATTCAATTTCTTTCGCCATAGCTTTCTACATAAATTAATGTCTTGGAGGACCTCTCCGGCCATTGGGTCCCCAAGCTCCAGAATTATATGGATCACTATACAAACTACCCGGATAACCCACATCAAGACTCCCGCTCAACATTCCATATGGTCCAACACCTGAAAGTGGTGCAGAAAATGTGGTTACATACAACCAAATTTTGAATGCAGAAGTTGAAATCTTATTGACATTTATAAAATGAACATGATGTTTGTACCGATTCCCCGGGCTTTCCTCTCAGCAGCCATCTGCTCGGTTCGTAATGTTTCAAGTTCCCGAACCATGGAGAAAAAATCATTCTGCATTGCTTTGTTTTGCACCATGAGCTCCTTGTTTTCTTTCTTCTCATGCTCAAGTTCTCTCCTGAATGTTTTAAAATTTGAGTATGAAAACATGTCCTCATTAGCATCCAATACATAAAATGCACGACTTCTGCAGAGAAAATGAAACGATAGAAAAAGATCAAACAAGAATACACACACACACACACACGTGTGTGTGTGTGTGTGTGTGTGTGTGTGTGTAAACATTTCCCATTGACTTGGACCTTGCTCCATCAAGCTCTTTGTGCATCTCATCAACCTCAGCCTTCATGGCAGAAAGTTTCTTATTCTCAGAGTGCAGTTTATTAAGATCCTTTGTTAAACTTTGAACTTGGGTAGATAACTCATTTTGCAAAGCAGTTAATTTTTGGAGTTCATTTCTGAGAGACCCAACTTCTGCCCGCAGAGGTTCAGCAGAGTGAAGCTCTGTTTCTAGCTTCAATTCTCTGTCAATATACTCCCTTGCCTCAGCCTCATTGTCAGCATGCAGTTTTGAAATGGACTGGCTAAATCTTATAATCTTATCTTTCGTGGCAGTTAATTCCCTTTCAAGCATCACATTCTCATCAAGTATGTATCTATTCTCGGCAAGAATTCTCTCCATATCTCTGCGCTGAATTTCAAGTTCCTCTTCGAGGGCAGCAGGATGAGGAGGGAGGGGGGGCGGTCCTCTTTGCATAACAGGCTGTAGTGGTGTTGGACCATCACGGTATCCTTTAAAATTATCAGGTTGGCGTGGTGGCAGACGGCTTCGGCCAGACATGACTGCAATCCTGGAATGTGTCTATGAGTAAACGAACAAATTTTCTGATAGGTAATCATGTCCATGTTAAAAGATAAATAAGGTCTATATTTCATGCAAATGGAGTTCAAATAGAATGGCCAGAAATTTGAATAATGAATACTCCCTCCACCCCAAATTAATCGTCCTAGTTTGACTTCATGGAGTGTAAGAAAAGTGTTGAAAGTAAAAAATGGGCGGTTGAATTTTTCGACTTTGTGGGCCAAAAACACTTAATTCTTCTAAAGTTTCACAAGTATTAAGTTCAACGATATTAGAAATGTTATCTTTGAGACCGTGAGATCACATTTAAGCAAAAGTTGCTCAAAATCTCGGGTGAATTCTTCAACCGACTTACTTCCTAGCTTTAAACTATGAAGTTTTGCATGCTTGCAAGTAGTATGCGGGAAGAAACTTCTCCTTCATGAGACGCCTCATTCTTTGCCATGATCTTATCGGCCCTTTTCCACCACGTGGAAGGATACTTTCTGAACTTAAGGGCCACGATCTTCACCTTTTTTTGGTTCGGCACTTCTTTGAGGTCAAAAGGTTAGTGTGGTGAAAATGAAGATGCTTCGATGGATGAGCGGTTATACGCATATGGATAGAATAAAGAATGAAGATATGAGAGCTAAAGTTGGAGTGACACCTATTGTAGAAAAGATGGAGGAAACTCGTCTTAAGTGTTTTGGACATGTGGAGAGAAGACCAATAGAGCATCCGGAAGGGGTTGATCAAATAGTGAATAGACATGCGGCTAGAGGAAGAGGTAGACCTAAGAAGAGTTGGCACAAAGTGGTCAAGGGGCGCCTTCGCGTGAATGAATCATCTCACCACAGATATGATACACGATAGGGCCTAATGGTGTCGTTTGGTCCATGTAGCCTAACCCACCTAATGGTATAAGGTTTTGTTGTTGTTGCCGCTTCTTTGAAGTCGAAGACACATTCCACCGTTTCCAACCATTCAAGGAATTCGCCGAATTTTCCTTTCAATGTAGAAATATCAACTTTGAAATCAGCAACGAAGGTGTTCAAACTTTTTTTGCGAGGGTAGTTGTTAATAGTTCCTTCATTAAAAAAGAATGGATTCTGCATCTCAAACCTTTCAGGTTCTTCATCCCGATCACTCTCAGAGTCACTTGAGTTCATCATTTTACTCTTTTTGTACATGGACAGTCCAAAGAACTTGTCATCAGAGGGCCTTGTGGTCACATTTCGGCTGGTCCAAAGCGGCAATAAGACCTTCTTGAGCCATCTGTAACACAATTCTTAAATCTATGGCAGATTTTTTTTGGAAAGAGAGATTCACGGAAATGGAAGTGAAGAGAAGAGTGTAGGGTCCAATAGAGATGTAAAACACTCGGCTCTGATACCAAAGGTTATATACTATGGAGTACGCATTTTCCTAGGGCTTAAAGAAATATATAAGTTGAAGGAAATCAGGATTATGTAAAATGAAGGAATCTGAAATTGAGAGAAATAACCAGAGGGATAACTCTAAGTTAACTTAAGAGCAAACACACTTTTGAATTACCTCAGGGCTTTTATGTATTTTAGACTTCAATAATCTCAACTGAAGAATAAAAATAGACTCCTAATTCACACTCTTAGTTGCCAAACTAATGAGATAATTTAGGAAAAGAATAAAATTGCGTCTCACAAATTTAGAAATTCTAGACAAGGTAAAACTCAATGTTTTCAAGATAATGTTGTGTTTCATTCTCAAGATTGCATACATATTTATACTAGTACAAGGCCAATCATTAACACTATGTTTGGCTCAAGGATTTTGGAAGGAAAAGAAAAGAAAATGATTTTCTCTCATTTTCCTCACCAAAATGGAAGGAATTTGATTTTCCATCCACTTGGTACATTTTGCCTCCTCATTTTCTTTTTCTTCCACTTTTCCTTTCTTTTCCCCTCTAACCAAACAAGAAAAATGGTTTTCCACTTCATTTTGTTTTCTTTTCCCTTTCAAATTCCTCGAACCAAACATAGTGTAAATGATTGTTCAGTGTGAAAACAATGAAAATACTTACCTAATTTCCTGTTGAAATTTTGGCCAACACACTAGGAAATACAGCAAAGGTATTAGAATTCAAACAAATATAATACGGAGTAATAAAGACAAATTACTATTCACTCGAGACTTTAATGATGAACTCCTTTCTCAGTTTTAACTGTTGCAATGTTGCAATTTCTGCTAGATTTCTTCAATCAAGAAAGGGCTCCCATTAGTCCAAAAGTGCAGAACATCAATCCCAAATATATCAAAACACAAGTTGCACACATAACACTATTCATGAACAGTGTTATGATTTGTTATTATTCTCCTTTAGCATATTTTCAGTCACATGAACATTGGAAGCCATGATACTGATCACAAGTCTCAGCCAAGGGTATTATGAAGAGATAGATTTATTTTACTTATTATCTAGGTAGACAATAATAAATAAAAGGGCAGGATCCTTAGTTTTATTTTGGCAAATAAGGGAATTTAAATCAAAAGTGTAAGAATGGAAATTTTGGGCATTTTAGGTTCTGGAGATCCAACCCAAAATGTATCATAACACTCTGGAAATAAGGCCCTTATTCACTAACCACTCTCGGGACTAAGAAGGCTATCCTTATATATATATATCACCTACCCAGCCCATTGACCTAGCCGGGCAGTACTGCCAAACCAATGATGCTTGAGTACCAAAGTGTTTAAAATAGCCAAGTTATTCAAACTCTCTATCAATTCGAAAGGTAGGCTCAAACTTAGAGTCTGATTACTATTTTTTGTGTCATATGGTTATGATTGAGTGGTGTTATCTAAAACATACCTCAAACAGGATGGGCTGCGCTGGAGTACATAAGGTATGTTAACTTGGGCTAGTCCACCCCATAAACCTAAGTTAGAGAACCCCTAAGTGCCAAAAGGAAATTGTGCAAGACTCCAAGGCAAAAAACATGGTAGCACTTTGATGTTGAGCTATTTTCCAAGAGCAATGACTGACATTGTTCATGATCTAGCCTGCAAACTCTGGTGTTTGAGACTTGACTGTGCCTCAGCCAAATAATGTCCCTATAGTAAGTTCATGACCTACTCTGACCTTGAACGCTTTATGTCAAGGACTGCATAAACTTTTTCTGAGTTTGGATTGATTCCCCGTAGCATGAACTTATCAAGTTTTAAAAGTAGAAATAATCCATCCGATAAGCATTGTTGATGATCGTGTAATTCACGCACACTCTCATGTGTTTTGGGAGCCAAAACAACACTAGCCAGCTACCCCAGATATTGGAGAAGCTTGATATCTTTAATTCTAGGAAGAACTTTCACCTATTTTTTCCATTGCAATAAAAGATTATGCTTTGGAGGAGAAAATGTTTTCTTCCAACTTTGACCTTACCTAATCTCACTTAGATCCAGCCTATCCAAACTAGTCCTCAGCTAAGCACAGGTGCCTACACTAAAAGTCTGTCCCTAGCATTGTTTAATAGCCTTGGAAAGATAGCTCCTCTCGAAATCACTGATAACCATAACATCAAACCCCTTTGGTTTCATGGTGTGAAGAACATCATGTGGAGGTGATCTATTGAGACTACCCAAGTTGTTAACATACATGGTAGCTACTCGGTCATATGCCAAATAGTGAGTACGACAAATATCTGCAGAGGATATGGTCAGTACACAGTCCCACTTCAATAAACTTCAATAAAAGAAACTATAAACTAACTAGACCATACCAGACATACCTAGTAAACCCACTCAGAAATAGAGTGTGGGCAGCATGAAATGTACATAGACCTTACCGAGGCAGGAAGATTTAATGTGCAAGAAATGTGCATGTACTAAAACTTGGTAATCAATCTATAATAAATTCCCTTTTGGAGTACCATACCATACCCCTAAAGGAATTCGAATCCCCCCGAGGCAGGTAGATGAGGGTAAATCAAAAGTCAAAACTACTGCAAAAACATATCCAAACTTCAAATTCATTGGAATCTAGGATATGAGTTCTAAAATAAATACTAGGGTAAGTGTTTCCTCATATGATTATATGAATGCTAAAAAATTTGGTTGCTCTGTCTTCTCCCCCCCAGAGAGTTAGAACCTAACCTTGTGCTCATGCATATCAAGTACATGTCGTACATGTGCAAATCAATGTACACATGTACATTTACTTTTAACATGGCATACATGAGCATGGCGATGTAGACACGTGCATGTACAAGTATGACACATACATGCAAAAATATATATGTGCATGCATGAAATATACATGTGCATGAATGACATGAAATGTACAAGTAGATGAAATATACACATACAAGTATGGAATGTCTAGAGCAGCTTACCAAAAAAGGTTGTTACAATGTTTCATAAAAATATTGAAAAACAAGCTTATTTCAAAGCATCTTTTTTGGGACCAAACCACTTTCTAAAGTGCTATTTTAAAAAAAAACATATGTTTGACCATAACATCTCATTTTCCTTAAAAAAAGCTCTTTTGAATAACAAAAAACTGTAATAATGTGTCCGGGGCTTTAGGTGAGGAATGTTCAAAAAGGGGCATTGTGTATATGAGGTGTTTTCCCATCAAGGTATAAGGCGTAAGCCTCAAGGCGTAGTGAGGCAAAAGCCTCATTTTTAAATTTCCGAAATGTCCATAATACATTATTAAGACTGAAGGGAGAACACTATTAATAAGATAATTAATCCATGAACATTGATGAAGCATATTGTCATATTATAAAGTCTAAAACGCAACAAAGTCAAGCATGAGATAATACAAATTATTACCTGAAGGCGATGAACATAGATTGAGAAATGCATGAACAAAAAAACAAAAAAGACAGATAAACTAATCGCTCATGTGATATTTTTGTTACAAAAATTACACAACACATTTTGGTTATTCAATTTCTGTCCTCTCTGAGTTTTGGGTGTTGAATCTATCCCATATTTCAATGCTGGATTCGAGATTTAAACACTTAATAAAAAAACCTATAAAAAAATAATAATACTAAGAATTTACAAATAATTTCCAAGCATGTTATTAATAAAACACCTCAATTGCAGATATATTAAAAAATTGAAGCGTCAAATATCAAACCATCAATTTCAATAAAAACCAAACCTTCTTATAAAAAAAATAGATGACAACATGTATGCAGCAGTAGCACAATTGCATACTAATTCTACCTGCGAAACACAAATAGAATCGAATACACTGAAGCTTGAAGAAACTTACCGGCGATAGAGGAGAGGGATTAGGGTACCCGGAGCCGGAGTCGCCCGACAAGAAGATGACGACTACACGAGGAAAGTAGGGTTCGAACTTCAAAGGCACATTTTACTTTCGAGAGTGAATTGACTAATTTAATCTTTACTTTGGAAAACGATTACTCTTGTTCATGAAATACCTTTGAATATAGGGAGTACTAATCTCTAACTGGTAGGCTGTGCATCGGTCTAAGCTAGAACCGACCCGGACCCGACCAGCACCGCTAGTAGACCGTACAACGGACAAACAAAGTGTAAGACTGGACCAGGACTGGACAGATAAAACCGAACTGGTCCGGACCGGCCCGAATAAGAGGGAGTATGTAATTAATTAAAACTTTGAGATTTGCACTTGGGAGAATGGAAAATTGTCTAAAAATTAATAGATTTCCGAGTAAATTCCATATTTTTTTTTCAACTCCCAATGGGCAAACCACCAATCTTGGTGGGGTAAGGTCTAGGCAACCCTTACTGAGTTTTATTAAGATATATTCGTCACCACAAAGTGAGGGGAGGACCAAACCAAGGCGTAACGCCAACCCCTCATACGGGAGACATGCCTTCCGGGGAGTTCAATAAGTAAAGAAAGGATGGGAAAGCCTAGAATAAGGCTTAACCAAAGCCACAAGAAGGTCCTAACTACCAACATACTAATCTAGGGCTTGACCAAAGCCACAATAAGATCTAAACATACGAAACCAAAACTACGGCATGACCAATGCCACATACGGTCAAAACAAACAACCAACCGAAACCAAAGCATTACCAATGTCACAAGATAAGAAGTGCACCATGGTAATGTGTCATTGAAAGGCCATGAGAAAGAAGAATTACAACACAAGAGGAGTGGTAATCATCTCCAAAGGGAGGAATACAAACCCATTCGAGTCAACCACTCCTCACTTCACAAACCATACATACCAAGACTAGGAAAAGATATTATAAGCGCACCTATAATATCCAACTTCTCCTTAGCCCCAGTAAAACCAGTAATGGTTTAAAAACCTCCTCACAAAAAGCAAACACTATCCCCTAGCAGATAGGAAAAGGAAATTGAGCGCACCCAATATCCAAGTTCTCCATATCCCTAGAAAGATATGACTGCATAATCAAGTCGAAGTAGAAGCAGCAAAGCTAGGAATGCGTTGAATATCATGTTGGCATAGCACTTGACAGTAAGCAGCAGGTAAATCAAAAATATCACCGAGCTCCCAACTTGGATGGAGTTGATTATTGCACCACTTAACTAAATAGTTTGTAACCATATTAGCCTCATGCTCACAGATATGTGCGGTATAAGTACAACAAGATAACAAAAAAACCAACCTGCTGAAGTTGTTCATAGCAATTAGAGAAACAGCAAGGTTAAGAAGATGCACCAGTTCCTCAAAGTCTGCCTCAAATTGAATTCTGTGTAAACCAGCATTTAAACACCAAGGAATAATAAATTGCTTACCTTTAAAAAAATGGTGTAATAAGAGACGTGGATGTATAATGTTTGAATTAGTAGAACAAACGGAATAGAAAAGTATTTTGACCAAGTGATATTTGCTACTTAAGTAGTTAAATTGTGAAACTGCAGAATGGACCCTATCGTTAATTATGACGACGATCATCACTCTGAGGATGAGAGCGTGCAACAGAACGACCACCAGAATATGAACATGAACCAGAACGTCCCACACCAAGAGGCGCCGAATGGTGGGCCTGTGGGGGTCCCACAAATCGACCGTGCAATGATGACGCAGCTCCTACAACAAGTTCTGATCATGAATCAGAATGTCTTAGCGCATGTTCGACAATCGGAACCGAGGATCACGCTCGAGAGCTTGAAGAAAAACGGCGCCGAAGAATTCCTAGGGGAGAACATTGCCGACCCGCTGGTTGCGTTTAGATGGATAGAGCGTGTGCAACGCGTATTCGAGAATCTGAAGGTTCTAGCTGGCGAGTGGGCCGATTTCGCGGTTATGCTTCTACAGAGTAATGCATACGAGTGGTGGAAGCGCACTACTCGAAATGCAAATCATCCAGCGAAAGTGATGTGGGCGTACTTTGATCAAGTGTTCAGAGAGGAGTATATCCCAGAGTCGTTTGTGGAAGAGAAATGAGAAGAGTTTCTACAGCTGGCGATGGGTACGATGAGTCTTCTTGAGTATCGACAGCTGTTCGATCATCTGGCTGAGTTCGGCCAGGATTTGGTGAACACCACCAAACGTCGTTGTGATAGGTTCGTGAAGGGCATGCGCCCGAAACTTCAGAAGCACATGTCTACTACATCTAGGCAAGACTTTGGTGTTATGTACGAACAGGCCAAGGAAGTGGTTCGAACTAAAGAAGGCGTGAGTCAAAAGAACAACCAACAATCAGCTAAGACAGCTATACATGCAGCTAGCACAAGCAAGACCCTTCCGGGAAAGAGACCTCCAAGTGGACCCGAGCTGCAAATCTCAAAGAAGGCCAACTCGCTACCCATGCAGTCGGTAGCTTCGACTAGCAAAGGCAAGCAACCAATGCATCCGTTGTGTTCTGATTGCAATCGTCATCACTTAGGGGAATGCTGGAAGAAGCTGGGGTGTGTATGGGGTGCGGTCAGTCTGGCCACTTCCGAAGGAATTGCCCGACCAATCCTGGTTTTCCATTCTCTACTGTGCCAGCACCGAGTCATACGCCTACTACTAGACCTGCGCAGAGCGAGCGTACGACCGCTGCATCTCAACGTCCACAAAGACCACAACAACCTGCTGCACAACAACAAGCTAGAGCTCCAGCTAGGACTTACGCCATGCAAGCAAGAATTGATCCTAATCCAGACGTCGACTATGGTACGTTCTTATATGCATTGTAGGTATAACTAACGTTATGTGATCCTAACTTAACTATGTTTCGTGAGTGTACCTTCTTATTTGATTATGTGAATGGTTGGAAATAGTAACAACGATTTCTTACGACTCCAAGTAATCCGCGTGAATTCAATGTCTTCATCTTTTTCAACGACAACGACACAAAGGAATTTCGAGGACGAAAAATTCTTTTAAGGGGGAGAGAAATGTAAAGCCCTGGAAACCGGCTTAGTAGTTAGCCGTTAGTTTAATAAAAATAAATATATCATTTATTAACATCAAAATATGAATTATTTGTAAAGTTGACCATTTTAATTAAAAGTTAGGTTTTTGGGTAGATCTCGTGAAATGGTGACTAACGGTATATAATTTGTTAAATTTGTGCATACGTGTAAAGCGTGGTAAGTGAAATAGATTTTACACTTTTATAATAAATAAAAAGATATTGTAATATAATTTTATAATAAATATTAGTAATAAAGAGGTGGTGTTCGATCCTATTACCAAACCGATACAGTATTAAGGAGGAGTCTCTTAATTTTTAAATCAAATCCACAAGTTGGAAAGGGGTCAGTTTCAAAGTATAAATCGCGTTGGAAAGGGTTCAGATTCCAAACCAAAGGAGTCCTCTTCGTATTTCTTCTTCGCCGCGCCACCAACTAGAGCAGACTAGGAGTTTGCAAGGCATCGCCAGAGTTGTCATTGGAGATTGGACAGGAGTCTTCGCTGGGAAACCTGCCGGAGCTTCGTCGAGGATTCGCCGGTGTAGTTTGATATTTCCAAGCCGATTCAAGGTGAGTGGTGGTTTCTCTCGTTAGAATTAACTTGTAGATTAGTATTTGTTAATATGTTTTCAATCAATTGATGTTGGATTTGCAATTTTGATATGTTGAATTGAATTATGAAATTGGAATCTGGGAATTTGGTTCTGCAATTGCTCTGACTTGCGTCTTCCGCTCGGTTCTACTCTGTTTTATGTTTCTTTTTCTCGGGTTTCTGTTTTGTGTTGCATTCATCCCTGCACTGGTGCCTCGCCTGAGATCGTCGCTGCTCGGATGAGGCTATCACAGAAGAGGATGCTGCGCAAATTTGATCCTTTGGTTTTGAACGAGGAACAATGGAAAATATAGTTTTCGAATTCACAAAGTGGCCACTTTATTCTTAGTTGTTTGCAATTCAACCCACCATACACTTAAACCTTAAAAAAATGTAAATGAAGTCCATTAATCAAACCAAGCCTGTTATGATAGTAAATTGTTCTTAGAAAGAAGGTTTCTCTCCTAAAACTACATGATGAACTGGACTTGTGGAAATAGACCACTTAGACGGATCTGGTGCCGAGTGAATATTAGAAACATAAATATGATAAGATTAGAAATAAGGTCATGCGTGTGGGTTTGAGCGAGAGCCTGGATTCCATTACTCCCGTAATTATGAGTTGGATTATATATATCTAGTAGGCAGATAAGGATATTTGTTAATTCTTCTGATATTGTTTGATTATATATTAATGAGTTCTGGTCTATGAGTTAGTTTTAGCGTTAGATACTTCCACTCTCCCTATTTTTACAGGTAGAGATCAAGGATTTGATGAGGAGCAGCCTGGAGGACAGTGAAGCGTGAAGCTGGTGGATGACCGAAGCTGTTTTATTTAAATTTAATATAGTTGTTGAATTTGTTTACTTAAATTACTAGAACGTTGAATGTTGTTTTTTAAGGCTTCCGCAACGTTTCAGTTATTTACTCCTATTAAACGGTTTATTGTTTTTCAATAAATATGAATGTTTGTTTTATTTCTAAATGTTTTAAAATTATTATGCATGTGAATACCAAATTAGTAGCAACCCGATTCGCTAACTCGTTGGTTTGGGTTACGCGGGTTGGGGTGTTACAGCTCTTGTTCTCTTGCTTTGTTCTTATATTTATTTCTCGCCTTGTATATTCAACAACTTGTCTAGTTCACGACGGTTTGGAATTATCAAAACCTTTCATAAAAACAAACACAGCTTTAGTACGAAAACACGATAAACCCGTGTTTCAACAATTTGAGCACAACAACTACCGGCGGCTACATATTCCGCTTCGGTTGTGGATAACGCAACACTGACTTGTTTCTTGCTAAACCATGAGACTAGAGAGCTACCAAGTAAGTGGCAAGTCCGACTCGTACTTTTACAGTCCAATTTGCAACCAGCAAAGTCCGAGTCGGAATAGCCAACAAGATGACAAGAAGAGCCTTTTGGATACCACAGTCCAACGTTAACCGTGCCGACAAGGTATTTCATGATCCGTTTTACCGCCGTTAAGTGTGATTCCTTCGGACACGATTGATACCTTGCGCAAAGGCATACGCTAAACATGATATCCGGCCTACTAGCGGTAAGATAGAGAAGGGATCCGATCATACCTCGATACCTTTTGACTTCTACTTCTTTACCTTTCTCGTCTTTGTCAAGATGGTCAGACGTGCTCATCGGGGTCGCCATGGCTTTGGCGTTGTCCATTTCAAACCGCTTTAGGAGCTCCTTGCAATATTTAGCTTGGCAAATGAACGTGCCATCTTTCATTTTCTTGACTTGGAGTCCCAAAAAGAATGTGAGCTCGCCCATCATGGACATTTCGAATTCACTTGTCATTAACGTTGAGAATTCCTTGCACAAAGACTCATTAGTAGCACCGAATATAATATCGTCTACATAAACTTGAACCAAAAGGATGTTATTGTTTTTACTCTTGATAAAAAGTGTAGTGTCAACCTTTCCCCTTTGGAAGCCACTATCCAAAAGAAATTTACTCAAACGTTCGTACCAAGCACTGGGTGCTTGTTTAAGACCGTAGAGCGCTTTCTTGAGTTTGAAGACATGGTTGGGAAACTCAAAGTCTTCAAACCCCGGGGGCTGGTCAACATACACTTCCTCTTGAATAAAGCCATTGAGGAAGACACTCTTAACATCCATTTGATAAAGTTTAAAATCCATAGACGAAGCAAAAGCAAGAAGTAAACGAATAGCTTCTAAACGTGCTACGGGTGCATAAGTTTCTTCGAAATCAATGCCTTCTTCTTGATTGTAGCCTTTAGCTACGAGCCTAGCTTTGTTTCTAGTGATTATTCCATTTTCATCAAGTTTGTTACGGAACACCCATTTCGTACCAATAATCGTACGATCATCGGGCCTTGGCATCAATTCCCAAACGTCATTTCGCTTAAATTGGTTTAGCTCCTCTTGCATAGCCAAGGTCCAATGTTCATCGTTTATTGCTTCGGAAATGGTTGTAGGTTCAATTTGAGAAACAAAAGCCATGTGTCCTACAGTGTCCCTAAGTGAGTTACGAGTACTTACCCCGCGGTTGATGCT